TTAAGGGCGGCGCGCGCTGTGTTTGGCCGAGCAGAGGCAGCTGACCTTTGAGGAAATCGCTGGTCCCGGCTCTTCCTGTAGCGGCAGCGCCTTGAACCGGGCACGGAGCGGGGCAGGGACCCAGGTGTGTGGCCCGGACGGGGACAGGGGCGGGGGACAGAGGCACGCGGTAGAGACACGGGATAAGGACCCGGGGCGTAGGGAGGGGCGCAGGGGACGGGCCACAGGCATGGGGAGAGGAAGGAGCGAGGTGGGGTGGGGGCACAGGGGAGTGGGACAGGGCAGGGGGTCGGGCACAGGGCCACGGGAGCAGGGTGGGACAGGCGGGCAGGAGCGCGGGGACGGGACAGGGCTTGGGGCACAGGGGCACGGGCTGGAGAAGCAGGCACACGGGGCCACAGCCAAAGTGGGGAGGGTGCTGGTGTCCGCACACGGTGGGGGGCCACTGCCCCCAGCCCGGAGGAGGCCCGGTCTCCCCACCTGTCGCCTGGCCGGCGGCCACCCTGTGCCCAGGGACGCAGCTACCACAGGGCAGCACAGCTGCTGCCCCACGTGGGCTGCCCCCCCAGCTCTCGCCCCCTGCGAGGCTGGCCTCCACGGTTTCTCTTTCACTTTTGGCCGCCCCCCCCTCCCTGCCGGGAAGCCCCTGGGGGCTGGTGCACAGGAAGGGGCGCCTGCACCCCGACCCCGACTCCCTGCCCCGCCGCGGGTCCTGCCTGCTCTCCGGTCTCTCCTGCCCGGCGGCCGAGCCTGGTCCCGGTGGGCTCAGGCACGGGGGGCTGTCGCCTCCTCTCCCAGGTGACCATGGCCGGCTGGATCCGCGCCCAGCAGCTGCAGGGGGACGCGCTGCGACAGATGCAGGTGCTGTATGGGCAGCACTTCCCCATCGAGGTCCGCCACTACCTGGCCCAGTGGATAGAGAGCCAGCCCTGGTGGGTGTCCCGGCCCGGTCCTCTCGCTCCGGGTGGAAGGGGCGGTGTCCCCGGGACCAGGGACGCGGGGACAGAGGAGGACAGCCAGGCCTGCACGCGCCCCGTGGGCCCGCCCTCCTCACCCACGGAGAGCCACAGCAGCAGCCTCTGCCCCCTGCCCTGCTGCCAGGGACACCATCGATGTGGACAGCCCCCAGGACCGAGCCCAGGCCGCCCAGCTCCTGGAGGGCCTGGTGCAGGAGCTGCAGCGGAAGGCGGAACACCAGGTGGGGGAGGACGGGTTTCTGCTGAAGATCAAGCTGGGCCACTACGCCACGCAGCTGCAGGTGCGAGCGCCCGCACCGGCCCCCAGCCCGGCCCCCCCGCCCCGCAGAGCCCCTGGGAGTTTTGCTGGCCTGGCCCCTGACTCAGCTGTGCCCTTGAGCTCATCAAAACTTTCCTGCAGCTTCCCCCACCCCCTCTCGAAGTCAGAGGCCTTCGCCAATGTCAGAGTCAGAGGTGGGGGCGTGGGAGGCGTGGGTCCCCAGCCCCTGGCTATGTGAACCACAGAGCAACAGATCAGAAGGCAGGCTGAGTCAGGAGTCCTTTGCTGGGGGACTGCTGGTTTCTGGAAATGAGGGAAAGAGGCCGGGCCTGGTGGTACACGCCTGGCGTCTGAGCACTTAGGAGGCTGAGGCAGGAGAATCACCATGAGTTGGAGTCCAGCCTGGGCCCCCTAGCGAGACCTTGTCTCAGAAAGCAAAGAAACAATAATGAAATGAGGGAAAGGGTTCACCAGACGTCCCTCCGCCCGGGGCTCCTCTAAAGCCAGAGGGGGAAGGGGGACATGCTGGAAGAAAGGCTGTGAGTGGAGGTTTAGAAAGCGAGGCAGCCTCTCCCAGGCAGGGGTGGAGGACAAGGGGGAGCACAGGGAAATGAGAGCCTCTGGAGAGAGGGAGGAACCCAGGAGGCACGGCCCTCGGGGAAACTGGGGCGCCTGGGGAAGGGCAGGTGCTGGTGGGGCAAGGGTGGCACTGCGGCAGCGCCCCTCTTTCAGAGCACCTACGACCGCTGCCCCCTGGAGCTGGTCCGCTGCATCCGGCATATCCTGTACAACGAGCAGAGGCTGGTGCGCGAGGCCACCAACGTGAGTGTGCGGGCGGCGCGGGCGCCCCTGTCCCCTGCCTTTTCCTCCTGTGCGACTGGCTTTGTGAGACGCTGGCTCAGGGCGCACAGGAGAGGACGGCGGCCCTGGCGGCGCGAGGGGGTCGCCCCTGGGGGCTGCCTGGGCGCCGGGTCCCCGGCACTGGCATTTCCCAGCTTTAGACTCCGGCAGGTGACCTGGCGACTGTTGAAGCCTCTTTTCTTCTTTCCCTTTTCCCCAGCACTGGCAGTGAAATGCCAGCCCCCAGCGTGCTGAGCAGGCACTCCACCCCAAGCTGCGCCCCAGCCCGTTTTAAAAATATTTTTTATCTTGAGATAGTCTCACTAAGTTGCCGAAGCTGGTCTCAAACTTGCAATCCTCCTGCCTCAGCCTCCCAAGTAGCTGGGATGACGGGTGTGCGCCACCACACCCAGACCATTTTTTTTTTTCTTTTTTGTTGCTGTCTGTGTCGGCAGTGGGGCTCACACCCGGGGCTCTACCACAGAGCTCCGTCCCAGGCCCCCTCTGTTTCCTCGTGTAAAATGGGTCTAGGGTAGAGTTAGGATGAGAATGAAATGAGAAGCTCTGTAGCCAAGTGCAGACACGCGTGTGCGCACACACTCACACTCGAAAATTCCATGGGAGTCAGAGATGGCCTTACAAGTCATGAGGGACAAGATCTGACATTCCATAAATGGCTGGGTCCAAAATAAACAACATACCAGGCGTAATGGCACACACCTGCCATCCCAGCACTCGGGAGGCTGAGGCAGGAGGATCACCATGAGTTTGAGGCCCGCCTGGGCTCCACAGTGAGTTTCCATAGGAAGAAGCCCCTGGTCAGGGGGGTTCTTGGCACTGATGTCATCCTGGTCAGGAGCGTCCAGGAATTTGGCTTCCTCCAAAGCACACCCCATGCGCCCTTGTGGGACGGGGCGCAGGCTGGATCTGACCCCAAAAACCAGCTGCAAAGGCACTGTCATCGCCGCGGCACCTGGCTTCCGCTCTCCTGTTTGCCTGCTTGGAAAGAAGTGTCCCTGCCTTCTGTCCTGAGATCGGAGTTCGCCGTCCTCAAGGCCCGGGGCTCCCCTCCTCTCTGCCTCTCTGTCCCCAGGGCGGCTCCCCGGCCGGAAGCCTCACCGACGCCCTGTCGCAGAAGCACCTGCAGATCAGCCAGACGTTCGAGGAGCTGCGGCTGGTGACGCAGGACACGGAGAGCGAGCTGAAGAAGCTGCAGCAGGCGCAGGAGTACTTCATCATCCAGTACCAGGAGAGCCTGCGCATCCAGGGTGAGCCACGGCCTGCTGCTTGGCGGGGACCCGTGCCGCCGACCCTCAGGGTGGGGCGACGGAGGCAGGTGCTTCCAGCCCTCCAAGGCTACGGCAGGCTGAGCCCTGTGTGTTCCTGAGCTCAGACCTCACGGCAGGCCTGGGCCGTCGACAGCCCCGCTATCTCAGATTTTCTGATGGCGCAGGGAGGTTCTCGGGGGCCTTGGCCTAGGTCACCTGCACACTGCACCCGCGGAGCTGGGCTCGAGACCTGTCACACTGTCCCCGGGTCCTCCCCTGAGCTGCAGATGGCCAGCGGCTGTTGGGACAGATGAGGGGATGTGGGCAAAGTGTCCCCTTGCCGGAGGGGACTGGAGGTGGCCAGGGACAGCTGCCATGAGGGAGGGCGTCACAGGACATAGACTGGGCGATGGACAGTGCCAGACTCGCCAGTCTCCAGGGCTGCGGTTCGCGGAGGCCCGCGTGAGGCGTGTGGGGATCTGGGCGGGAATCGGCTGCAGGGGCATCTTGGGACATGGCTCACTGTCACCCACACTGGACCCGAGTGACCACGGGCCCCCCAGAGAGAGGGGAGGAGACAGGACAAGATCCTTCTATCCTCTTCCCTTCCGGCAAGGAGAAAGTGCGGTTGTCGATTCAGGCCAGCAGAGCTGTGGGCAGGAGTTTGGATTTTTAAAATTCTTTTTTTGTTTTTTTTTTTGTTTTTTTTCCGGTACCAGGAATTGAACTCACGACCTTGCGCTTGCCAGGCAGGCGCTGTGCTGCTGAGCTAAATCCCCAGCCCCTAAAATTCTTTCATACATATATATATATATATATATATATATATATATATAAAACATCAAAAATATAATGTGGGGCGCTGCTCTAGCTGTACCCTATAATTTTTGCTGTGATGTGTCTTCATGCCATTCACGATGAAATAATTCTAATTTCTCTTGTGATGAATTCATCTGTCTGTACATTCATTAGAAGCATGTGGCTGCATCCCAGACCGGTGTGGTGGTGCGAAGGATTTCCAGAGCTATATTCTTGTTTGCCAATGCCATGATGATCGGAGAACATGCTCTACATGGTCTCAGTTCTTCCTGTAAACTGGCCAGGCACAGTAGGGCATGCTTGTCACCTCTGCTGCTTGGGAGGCTGAGGCAGGAGGATCACAAGTTTAAAGCCCACACATGGGGGAATTAGTGAGGTCCTTGTCTGTAAACGATGAAAACTGACCCAGCTGTGGCTGGGGTGTAGAGTACACAACTCATCCTACACCAAGTAGCCTGTGTGGCGGAGGCCACATACCCTAGCTGAGAAACACTTTCACAGCTGCTTCTGACAGTGTGTTCCCGTCCTTTACCATGCCTGACTAGATTTGCAAATCTCCTTAATAACAGATAGTTGGGCCTGGCTTTCTACCTGTGGTCTCTGGAAAAGCCTAATGGATCTATGTAGATATTTAGGGTATTTTTTTTAAAAAAAAAGGTCTTTTTTTTGTCTTTTTTGAGACAGGGTCTCAGTATGCAGTTCAGGCTGGCCTTGAGCTCACTTTGTAGCCAAGGCTGGTCTTGAACTCATGGTGATCCTCCTGCCTCAGCCTCCTTAGTGCTGGGATTACAGGCGTGCACCACCATGCCTGGCTTAAAAAAGGTCTTTTAAAGTTATAAAAAATGTTTTGATTCTTGGGCCTCCATAAGGGACTCAGGAACTGTCCAGGAGTTCTCTGTACTGTACTTTGAGAAGTACTGACATTGGTCTTTATTGATTATTTTTCCTAATTGTTTTATCAGTTGCTGAAAGATAGGTCTCAGAACCTCTTACTATGATTGTAGAATTGTCTACTTTTTAAATTCTCTTTTTATTTCAAGAGGGTGGTACTGGGGATTGAACCCAGTGTTCTTGCGCTGAGCTATATTCCAAGCTCTTTTTTAATTTTCTGTTTGAGGCAGGGTCTCTTGCTAAATTCCTGGAGCCAAATTTATGCTTGCAGTCCTCCTGCCTCAACCTCCCAGAATGCTGGGATTAGAGGCATTCGGATTCATTTTGTGTACATTTCCTTTACATATTTTGAAACTGTTATTAGACCTAGACACATTGAAGTGGGGGAATCAGTGAGACCCTTTCCAACCTGTTGACATAATCATAAACTGTCTGTCCTACCTCAGGTCATAGTCGGTGCTGAGGTCCGTATCGTGTGGTATTAACACAGCTCCTCTAGCCCCTGAGTCTGGCATAATGTTGCCCATTTAACATATTTTCTCTGTAGAAAGTGTATGTTTTTTTGAGACAGGGTCTCACTGCGTAGTTCAGGCTGGCCTTAAACTCATGTCGATCCTCCTGCCTCAGCCTCCAGAGTGCTGGGATCGCAGGTGTGCACCACCACACCCAGCCAAAAGTGTGCGATTGCGTCCTGCTTTGGATTTACTCAGCCTCCGTGTCACTTGCGATGCCTTAACGTTTAGTATCACAGTTCGCATTTGCGTGGAGGGCTGACGCGTTGATATTTCTTTTCTGTGGTGTCTCTTTCCAGCTTTTACTCCTTTGTTCCACCTTTTTGGCCTTTTTGATTAAATTATTTCTAGAATTCCTCTTTAACTACTTAAGCTCGCATACTTTCTGCCCCCAAGGCGGCACATTGGCTGAAACGGAGCAGACACTGAACCCATGCCTCAGGCTGAGTCAGGCAGGTCTTCCCTCATCCGAACCCACCCAGACTGACCCAGAAAAGCCCGGGCTTGCTAGGGTGGAAACCCAAGGCTTGGATGATGGTTCTGCCCGTGTTCGTTGCTGCTGACAGACGGGTGACCTTGGGCGCCCTTGCTTTCGCCGTTTGGGCTTGGGCTTGGGTCGCGCCCACCCCTGCATGGCATCAGTGTGACCTCCTCTCTCAGCTGCACCGTGACACACGGGGACAGTGGGTCGGTCCGTGCAGGAGACGCCGAGCTGCTCCGCCCAGCAGAGCCCTGGCCCAGGGTCCCTGGCCTATCCAGAGGCTCCCGAGAAGGCCAGGAGGGACCCGAGGTCACCCGCCTGGGCCGGTCGGGTGTGGGTCTCGGCCTCCCGTGGCAGTGGGATCTGAGGGCCGCAGGGTGCTGTTCTGAGTCCCCCTGCGCAGTGCTCTTGTGCGGTGCCCCGTGGGGAGAGGGTACCGTGGTTCAGCCATTTCCTGGATGCCTGGTGTCTCCAGGGAGCTACCTGGTCTCTGTGGCATGGGCCTGGAGGGCAGCCAGGGGAGTGACCAAGACATCCTCAAGATCACTGGTCCTGGGGCCACGGCTGCAGGAGCCTGGTCGCCGGGACGCGGCGTCCAGCCTGGGTCTGGCTGCCCAGCAGGGGCTGGCCCCTGGGTGCGCGTGGTGACACGGTGGCCCCGTCCCCTCAGCCCAGTTCACGCAGCTGGCGCAGCTGAGCCCCCAGGAGCGGCTGAGCCGGGAGTCGGCGCTGCAGCAGAAGCAGGCGACGCTGGAGGCCTGGCTGCAGCGCGAGGCGCAGACGCTGCAGCGGTACCGCGTGGTGAGTGCCGGGCCGGGGCCGGGGC